TGTCCAGGTCAGGCTGCAAATGTGTTTATCCAGAAAAATGCGTTAAGGCACCTTAAAGCATGCACGTGTAAGGCGTATTAAGTTTAGGCACACGTAAATTCATGTGTAGGCGTGCCCAAAGTGTTGCTTGTAGATTGATTCATTCTTTGGGCTTTGTTTACATGCAAATCATACATCTTATTATGCTTTGTCCCGTCCTCAGGAGGCTACCTGCAATACTCAAGCCAGCCTAGCATAGCATCGGGGTGGGAAAAGCAACTTTGCAGGCACAAACTCAGATGCGTTTATGAAGAATGACTTGGTGCCATCTTATACAAATTCAGACTTCTAGGATAAGCAGACATGGTAACAAGTTCCTCTATTTTCTGCTTAAACAACCCACATTGGTAAACTCAAGGGAAATTAAACTGTTTATCTGAGGTCATTCCCGATTGTCATCTAAATAAAAAGCATGGTACCTATCTTTTGCTTTTTAGATGTAATGTGTCATACTCGCTATAACTAGAATACCATAGATGAAAAGCAAGTATGTGATATACATCTACATTTTCAGGCAGAAAGGTATTGTTTTTTGGTGAACCTAATACCTGGGAGACATTTCAAGTTAGTTAACAGACGCAGACCACCTGTGGCTTGGTTCAGTCTTCCAGTAAGTTAAAGCGAATTGAAAACAGCTGAAAACAATACCAGCTGACAAGCGTCAAAAGCACAAACCACAGCAGAGGTCAGTGAAGGGTAGTAAAATTCCTAAATTTAACTGCTTCTCCTTGGCCATGGCCCAGATGCTAGTCATAACAGCTGAGAATAGGAAGAGGAAGCCAATGAACTTAAGCACTTGTTAATGTTAACCAAGTGTTACTGTACTATCCTGAACTGTGGCTATAGGGTTCAGTCTCAAACTGGTGTAAATGGACTTGGCCAGGACTGTGTCAACTTACCCTATGTTGGGCCATTTCAGCGTGGTAAACCTTGTCGGCTTGGCAGGTACACCTGCAAGCATTCTGCACTGCTCTAGGTGGGCTGCAAGCTACAACTGAAGCAGGGTAGCCAGAGCTGTAGGGTGGCATGAATAGATTAACTGACAGTGTCATTCAGCAATCCTAAAATCCACCCAAACCACCACACAAAAGCTAGCTACGTTTGCTGCTCAAAGCAGCTCCACACGTGAGGATGTTGCTACTGAGCCTGTGAAGTTTAGCATGGAGATGTAGCCTTCATGTCTAAACCTGCACTATTAAAGTTACTGGGGAGTTTCCTACAGATTTTAATAAGAGGAGGCTCTCAGTGACAAGCACAGAATGAAATCCCTTATGCTCATGACTCTAAAATAAGGGGGAAAGCATAGAATATAATTTAAAACATTGAATTCAGTCAAAAGGAAAGCCAGGGCTGCTCTGCAGGTGATTGCATGTTTATACCATGGAGAGAGAACAATATGTAAGGGAGAGATGCTATACAACTGAGAAAAGATATGAACTTCCAACTATTTGAGTTTGTCTAATAAAAGATAACAGATTTACCCAAAGAGCCTTGTCTGCCTTGAATTTTCTGGGCCATTTATGATAACTAATTTTACATGAATAAAATTAAAATGATATATATGCAAACCCCACTATTCTCCTAGCTAATCAGAAGGCTCTCTCAGAACCGGGTATAACTGAAAGGAATTCAACAGACCGTGAAGAATCCCAGACAACAACAAGAATCTCAGCTTTGTCAGTTCTGGTCATATTTCTAATTTTATCATTAGTCGTCTCTGGTACTAGGAAATGGGTGCAAGGTAGTGTATAAACCCAATATGCAGTCATCCGCTCCAGGAACTTACTGTTTCAAATGCAGAGAGGGAAAACACCATGCTTGCATGTGCACACATGCACAAGGGTCAGAAGGTGACTGTTAGCCATACCTAATAGCCACCAATACAGCACTATTTCCGCCTACTGCCTACTTTAAAATAAAGCTACCTCTATAGATTATCTGCAGTTACCCTATTAAGCTGGTCATTGTTAGTGCTACAAGGACCAGCTTGACTGTTTTTGCTCAGTAAACAAGCTCAGCAGTAGTACTGGCATCCATTACAATCCATAGGTCCATTTCACCATATTTCTCCCACTGACTTACCAAGTGACACGCCTGTTGTCTTGCTACTGCACCTCTGTTCCACCTCTTGGCCTTGATGTTTTTACATCATACATCACCTAAAATAGAACAGAATCATATGTACACTCTCTGATCCACTGGGTTTTATTTACTAGTGAAGCAGATGCCTTTAACTACATGCTTCCTCAGACAGAGTTAAACCCTCAAAATTCTGACATGTACACAAAACTGACAGCTGATTCAGTCATACAAAAGATCGCAAGCCCACCTGAGCCTAGCAACTGATTGAGTTAGCATGGTTAAAGCACTCCAGTTTTGGGGTAGTCAGCAGCCCCCAAATCTAGATGTGGCTAGTATCACATCTGGCTGCCTTTGACTCCCTGTCCCAGATGATCAAGGTGCTATTTACAGCTGGGTTATCTGGGGACACCGTCTAGCATGTGCCTGGAAGCAGTTTGCACTCATCCCTCTTGGAATCATAACAAGATGGCTCAAAAACCCTCTGCCACTGCAGCCTGTATGGAAACAAATAGGAAGTGAATAGAGTGGAGTAAATTCTACCATCAAATATACAGAAAAAGCGGGATTTTGGTGTAAGTATGTAACTAAATAGCAATATTTTGTGTACTATTTCCTTATATTAAGCTCATATGTTTACCTATACATGATACATGCATAAACATACATTTGAGTTCTACCACACAATCAGCCAAACATCTTATAGACTGTTCTTTACAACCCTGTCACATTCAGCCCACCTCTTTTCTAAGTTGTGTTACCATGCTGAAGTTGTTCAAACCAAACAATAGAGTAACTCACATTTGTTGTCCTCCTGAATGATTAAAATTCATGAACAGCTTCTCAGAAATTCATTATAATATTTTTACTTTGTAAAAAGCCCTAAGCAAGGACTTTTTCAAGAACATCAATTGTAAGATAGGTGAAATGACTAAAGTGGCAGAGTTTTTCTTAGTAAGCTTTTGGGTTTAAAAACCCTTTGTCAGGCTGAGGAAGCACCTGCATTTGGTGTGTGCTCTTCCTGGATGAAATGAATAGTAAAGAGGCCAGAGGCTGGTCTGCATGCAAGAAAGCCAGTAAGTGAAAATGTAAACTGAGGAGTCAGTGGGTGAGAGAGAGGCTGGCAGGAAGAGCACACACCAACTGCAGATGCTTCCTCAGCCAGACAAAGGGTTTTTAAACCCAAAAGCTTGCTAAGAAAATGTTTTTCCAGCTATTTAGTTGGTATAATAAAAGATATTAGATTTACCCAAAGAACCATGTCTGCCTATGTCCTTAGACCAACACAGCTACAACCTACACCCCTGTAAAATGGCAGAGGCATTAGAAGTTGCATTTTAGGACTTGGTCTTGTACTTAGTAAAATCAACCAAAACACTTCCACTGGAACAGGATCAGATCTGAAATAACATGTAACCCAGCAATGTTTACACATTTTCAGCTGTAAACGTAACCCAGACGTGCCCAATACAATAAAAACATTGACATTTGATATCACTACATGGTTATACAATGAATATATAAATATGCAGCAACAACTTGCACGCTGGTGGAATGCAAGGCACTCACACATTGGAAGTCTGATCGTGTGGTCTGGTGAGCACTAATACATTTAATTTCAGTGTGAGTTGAGTGCTTACTGGTATAGGTGAGCAGCTCTTTAACGAAGCTCTATACAAAAAAGGACTAGCATGAAATTCACGTCTGAATAGAAAGTGTCTTTTCTCTTCCAGAATATTTGGTTCTAAGTTGTGGATTAATCCTAATGGTAGGTCACCCTATTCATATTAATACTTTTAAATGTTGCTTCTTGAAGTCAAAGCTTACTTCACACTGTACTCATTTACATTGTTCCATTACTGTGCACACTCTAGACAATGGAGTATAGTACAAAAGCAGGTTAAATAGAAAGGCATAGGGTATAATGCTGCCCTTGAATTTAGAGCAATGCAAAATAAGAACTGCTCTCTTAAGTTAGTTACAGGTATAAACCCGAGCAATACAAACCAGTTAATGCTCAGTTCACTTCTGATTTTCTTTCCAGTTTTTTTCCCCAGTAGCTACATATGCACTTCCCATCTTTACTTTTACCAGAAAAGATGAACAACATTTTGGCCAATTATATATATTACTGAATTTTGAACACGTTTGTTGGGTTTAACAGATCTGATACTACTTTGTAAACTGGTATTTTTAGCCCACCTGCAGATGGTTTCTAAAGGGGGAAAAAAGCAGCACTACTTTTGTTGAAAAGCTCTTTATTACATTAACTGTAGGATAATTTCAAACTTGTAAGAGAGCTAACTCTTGTGAAAAGTAGAATTAATGTGTTTTGGAATACTGCAACCTTTTAGAGCTCTTTTGGTAATTTTAAAGTGTTTGTAACATACACAAGATAAAAGAATCCTATGCAATTCCAACATTTTGAAATCAGTCCATATCTTGTATGCCCATAATGATGAATTTGTCAGAATACGGACAACTTAATTTTAAGCATAAACTGGTATTTTCTTTTTCTGAAAATTTGCCTCCTGTAGCTGGAAGTAAAGATTTTTTAGAAGAAGTACTCATTAGAGGCTAAGGAACAGCCTTGACAATAAGCACTGCAACACACAGCCTCAGCACCATTTTTTGATGCCTGGAATAGTGCTGTTACAATTAAGGAGACACAAAAACTATTCCTTTCTTGTCCAACCATTTTAATTAAACTGAAACTGTGGCTTTATAGTTCAAGACTACACATAAAAAGAAGTTTACCTTCACTTCCTTGCCATTGCTGCTGAGTGTAAAGGACTGTGGCCTTGAGATTTTAGTAATAAATGAAAATTTTTTTAAAAAGTGATCAATGGAAGCCTCTTCTGAAAAAAGTTAGGAGTGAACACCCCCTGAAAACAATTTTAAAAAAGAAAGGCTTTGCTTCTTGACAGCATGAAAAACCTGTTCTTCCCTCTTGATGGGTGAAAGCATATTTACAGACACTTCACCAGCAACTTCCTAAATGAAAACAAGCTACTGGGTCTCTAGTAAAATAAGTGAGCTACAGATTTCACCAAATAGTAGCATCAAGCAGGCACAACATAAGCAATGTAAAGTCAGTAAACAAAATTTTACTGTAATATTTCATAACACAGATACTGTATTCTGTTTAAGTGTAAAGCTACTGTCTTACACAAGAAAGATGGACAGACCCTTTCCCCAAGACTAATATGGATACAATAAATATGGAGTTTTACATACCAGAACTGTACACAGAAACTTTGTCCCACAGCCATAAAAATTTACATTTAACAGTGCAACATATAATTTAATCATTTATTTCATCTGACAAAAGATGTTTGTACTTACTAAACACAAGCAACTATCTAGTTTTAATATACATATTTTATATATTTATATATATATTCAATAATCTGTACAGGTTTCTAAACATAAAACTCCAAAAGGCACAATTGTCTATACAACATGTACAAAAATGGCTGGACCTGACAAGAAACAACAATTATTGGTCAAGAGTTCATGATTGCACAAAGATTAGTTATGAGTTTGGGTCTGAAAAAAATGTGCTTTAAGGAAAGGAAGGTTTGCAAAGAAACCTGCAGGTGTTATAAAAAAAAAGGTCTAGGTTGCTATTACAAGTCTGTCCTCATCATCACTGCTGCCATCACTAAACTGCACAGTATTCTGTCTTCGTGGGAATCTAGTAAACCTTTGTCCCTGTCTATCTGGAGAGACAGTTCGATGGACTGGGGACTTGGTTAGAACTTCAGAATTCACCTTCAAGAGGGGCTCTGACATGGAAGCCCTTTTGACCTGAACAAAAGAAACATCACACTTTGGTTTGACATGATTTGCTGGGTCAGCCTTTTCAGTGTCTGCCTTACGTAGTCCATCAAGTCTTTCATACTCATTTGATGAAGCAGGCTCTGAAACATTTTTTACACTGTACTGCTGGCCAGCAGATGCCACCTGAGGAGATACAGCACTGGAGATCTGATTGATGTCAGCTGCAGGAAAGCTCACAGAAGTCTGTTCTTGTTGCGTTTCACGGGCTTTATTGTTGGAAGCTGGTGTTTCAGGAGCTCCTGACCCATCTACAGTTACTGGACTGACCGAAGGGATTAAAGTAGGCAATGCTATGTTCAGTATTTGTAGGCCTGGAATGTGTGTCTGAGGGCTGGGATTGCTCTGAGATGAAGGGTTGGCAGTCAAAACCTGTAGGCCCACAGCATTTAGCGTAAGTCCAGAAGGATGCATTTGTGGAGCAATATTTGTATTCGTCAGACCTAAGATGTTGACTGTCTCCATGCCTAATGGTGGAAGAGATTGTAAACTTGGTGTACTCAGGCTCTGGATGCCAGGCACATTAATCTGACCTATTGGAATACATGGCACAACACTGTTTACTTCTGCAACTCCTATTGAACTGGCAGTGCCAGAGACTGCACAGGCTGTGTCAGCAAGAGCACTTGTAGTTCTGTGAATCACACTAACAGCAGGAATAGTGAGTTGCACTGGCCCGGCTTGAATTGGTACAAATGTAGAGTATGTAGCTAGGCCAGCAGGGACCACGTGAATTCCTCCTACAGGTATCATACCATAAGGTGTCTTGGCTTGTTGCTGTGAATGCAGAGGGAGGTGGCTAAACAGATGAGTTGGAGGAGATGCCAATTCTGTGGCTCGGCGCTGACATTCTTGTGGCTTCTCATCTTGGATTTCCAGATAGGGTGATGCTGCAGAAGGAGCCACTACTGTTGTTTGTGTGCTTCGATCCACTGGTGGTGAGGGAAGTCTTATGGAGTGTGCACTCTACGAAACAACGAAGACATTTTAGTAGTCAGGTTATCACTGTATTTTCATTAACTGAAAATACCCCAAAGGAGGCAGAGTATGTTCAAAAGAATGAAATGAAGTCAGTAAAAGGGGTCTTTCACAAAGAGGTAAGCTACCCTAGTTAAGCTTTCATTTGCCATTAGATAAGAACACACGGCATTTTCCTGCTCACTTTCATCTTGTGGTGAATCATTTATCTGCCTATACCTATAGTTTTGCAGTATCCTATTTTTCTTTTAGAAAATTACAGTATATCAAATCAGTTCTCAATACATATTGTACAACCCGAACAATAAACTACCTTCCTTTCTTGTTCTACTCCTTCCCACATGTTGTTAGAACTTCTCAAAGCTTAATGCTCTTAATTCTCATACCTGATTTTTCATAAGCATTAGTACTCTCAAATATTGTTGCATTTCTTTTGAACAGTTTTTTTCTGGATATGGGGTATCAGGAACTTAAATGAAAAGAACTAAGTGTTGTTTTCACCATTCTACCAGCACTGTACACACATTTTCCTAAAATCATGCTTCAACAAGTCATGCTGGTTGGAGCATCCAAAGTTGTTTGGAACATTCGAAGTGGCACAGAACAAATGGATCCTCATCCTATCAAAAGATGCTTTAGTTTAAGTGATGGTACACTGTGGCTGGGAGCCAGGAATTCAACACTTAAGTCTTTTACAGCTTGGTGTTAAATCTATACCCTTCCCCATCTTGTTATTGAGCGTGGGCAACTATTGTGCAGGTTTCCTGCATCTGGGAGCAGACAGCATGCTTTCTATTCTAGTACTCAGCACATCTGGAAGAGACAGCAATTGTACAAATTTTGCACGCTCCTGTGGACAAAATCATATGGAATTAGATTAATACTATCACATTAATTTCTCTTGGATCCTATTGATAATTTTATTTCTGAACTTCAGGATTAAGCTTCTGAACACTTTCACTTGACAACTTCACACACCCCACTCCAGTATCATTCTTCCTATGTTATATACTACTATATATTCTTAATAATACAGTCAATCAACTACCATGATTCTTTAAATTAAAGATATGTATACACATCTTTTCAGGATGCAATCCTAAACCAGACCTATTTAGAAGTGGTGGTTTTTATATTATTGTTTGTTATTATGCTCCTATATACCTGCATAGGAAGTACTTCGAATTTGTTTAACAAATATCAACATCTGTGTAAAGAGAATGAGGGAAGCAAACTATTTTAAAATATTACCAGAATACCGGTAATCTCAGTGTTTGATTCCTAACAAGCTTTTAAAAAGATATGGAGTGTGCTCCTCTACTTCCCATTAAAAATGAATATTCTAACCTTTGTAACAACTACATTAGATGTTGCAGGACTCCCCAAAGCTGCTTCTGCATCTGGATAGTCTATAGACATCTGATGACCTGGGGATCTAGGAGCAGTCTCAGAGGGTAAGCTATGCTCTGTACTTGCCACCCCCTCCTGTATTCTTGCTTCATTTGCTTCCTGATGAGGGTCCATGACTGGTGACCTGGAATTTCGGCATTCTGACTGTATTGTGCTAAGCACAGTCATCTTTGTAAGCAGCGCTTTGGGCAAACCATCCATAGAGTCTGTATGAACCCCAGTAAAACAATCTGCAAATCTGATTTCTTCGTCTGCGCTTGTGACCTCCTGCAAGCTACTTCTAGATGGATGATGCTGAGGGCTTGCTGTAACTGAGGGAGTTGTAGAGAGGACTGATTCAGCTTGGCTGTCATCTTCATCATCATCATCATTGTCATTGTCATCGTCATCTGCGCCATCAGAATCCTCCACATCAAATCCTGATCGATCATAACCAAATCTTTGCTTCTCACCTATGAAGCAGAACAAAAATAAAACTGATATAAGTAATTCCACTAAAAAAGGCCATATCCTGACCTGAAGCAATGAAGGAAGGAGTAACAATATTCATCACAAAATATGCATAGAATACCACACAAGTGTATCAAGTAACTTCCCTCTGTGTTACACTTGATATTTTTTAAAGAAGGTTCTACAATTCCATTTTCATTTTCCTGATCCACCTGAATCCTGTATTTTTGCTTCTGCATTGATCTCACCTCTCAGTTTCCAATTCTTCTTCTAACCAGCTTTGTACTAACAGTTTCTTTTAGCAAACATTTACTCTAAGGAGAATGGAGTATTGATTTCCTGATTCATTAGGTCTGTAGTACTGACATATCAGACTTGTTTGCCAAGCTTATCAGTGGGATACTCTCAAGTATTTTACCGACTTATTGGTTGGTGTTCTTGAAATTAATATGAATCACTTCTCAAAAGGATTTTGAAAGCTGTAAACAGCAAGGGTAAAGTCTAAAATGAGAATTTACTAGCATTCTTCACCTTTAGAAAGTTTCAAGTGAATTATCAATAGATTACCCGAAGTGTCTGAAGACTTAGTATTGATAACAAAGTCCTAAACTTGCAAATGTGTAAGCTTATATGTAATATTATTTGTGTTAGTCCAAATGATATTAGGGCTAAAACTGAACCAAAATAACTCTTTTGCTTGTCACCAAAAACCTAACTCCAGTTTAGTTTTAGTTAGTAAACCAAACTACAGATACTACTTAACTGCTGATAATCACCTAGTTTTGTATCATAACTAGGGAAGAGAGAATAGTCTTCAATAAAGAGACAAAACCCCGTCTGTTGTACCTGACTCCAAGCCAGACTATTTGAAATCACATTTGATAAAAGACAAAATGCTTGAATACACTCATACATTTATACTGGATTAAAGGTCTGTCTGCTAACATCTCCAAAGAAAGCATCAGTACAAAACATTTGGCTCAGAAAATCTCATATTTAAGGATGGTTGGTTTGGATTAGTAAAATTTGAAAGTCTCCATTTAAGGAAACTTACACAGAGACTTACTGTCGGGACAAATGATTATTATTTATTTATTTATTTTTTTACAAGAATTAAGACCTACTATCAGTATCTTGTCCAGCTAGGACACCACAACTAAAATATGCATCACACATACACAAAGATGCACACTGGGGTGAGAGGTAAAAAAATTAATACCTCTCAGCAAGTGATCTAACATTTCAAGTCTTTATGATTCCAAATAAGTATTGGGAATAGGATACTGAACAGCCCTAACTGGTTCTTTGTGCAAGGTAGTACTCTATGAATTACTAAAACAGGGATGTTGACTTTCTTTAAAGACTTCTAACAGGCATTAACTGACATTACTAAAAGTACTTCACACTCATCGCAACGATACCACTGGGGAAAAAAAAAAAGATATGTTTTAGAGGGCATTCATTTACAATTTTCACCTCCAAACAAACGCAACGTACAGGTGTTCAACAAACCTTCGGCAAAATTGCTCTAATTTCTGTGCTCTAGGTGCCCACATTTAGGTTAGAACGAAGCTGAACACACATTAGCCCTTGTGGGGTGGGAGCCTGGAGCTTGCCTGCATGGCCTGAGCACAGCAGGTAAGAGAGGCTCTAGCATCCGTCCCCCACAGGCTCCCCGGCCTGCAAAGGACTCCAGAGCAGAGCCAAATAGCCAAGCCACTCAATTGGCTGGTGGGGGCATTATGGCCACCCACCTGGACCTCAGCAGCTCATCATGGCCACGACCCATCAGCCAGCCATCCCATGCCTGCCCAACCAATGCACCCTGTGCCCACCCTGTGTGTGTGTCCTGGACACCAGGGTTGTGTGTGCAAGTGTGAGTATGTGTATGTTCAGGATGTCTGAATTCTGTGTGTGCACGCATGCTCCCCCTCCCACACACACAGAATGCAAGCATCCTGGACACACACACAAATTCAGACACACACAGAACCCGGGAGTCCAAGGCATGATTGGACCACTGACTTTCACATGGCTGATGAGGGTAATCGTGGGCAACTTCCTGTTCCCCAGGGCGATGGAGTTGCTGCTATGCTCTCAGGGTTCTTGATTTCATCATTGGTGATCTCATAGATTTCACAGACATTAGGGCTGGAAAGGACCTAGCAAGAACACTGACTGGGTCCAGCCCCCTGTCCAAGGGGCAGGAAGTCTGTTGGGGTCAAATGATCCCATTAAAATAGGTATCCAAGTATGTCTTAAAGGTGTCTAGAGTAGGTACTTGCACCACTTCTGGGGGGAGCCCAGGCCAGACTGGGGACTCAAATGGTAAAGAAGTTTTTTCTTATGTCCAGCCTAAAATGGTCTTCCCAGAGTTTGTGACTGTTACACCTCGTCTTGCCTTGGGGTGCCCTGGTGAACACCCCTTATATACTTATAGGTTGCCACCAAGTCCCCCCGGTGCCTTTGCTTTTCCAGGCTGAAATGTCCAATGCCTCTCAGCCTTTCCTTATAAGACCTGTTCTCTTATCTCTGATCATGCGTGTGGATCTCCTCTGGACTCTCTCAAGCTTCTCCACATCTGTTCTAAAGTGCAGAGCCCAGAACTGAATGCAGTACTCCAGCTGTGGCCTCACTAAGGCCAAGTACAGTGGAAGGATGACATCCTGCGTCTTGCTTGAGATACACTGATAGATGCAAGACAGGGTTTTGTTTGCTTTGCTGGCTGTGGCATGGCATTGATGGCTCATGTTCATCTTGTGGTCAGTCATGACCCCCAAGTCTCTTTCAGTCATGGCGCTAGGAAGTGTAGCACTGCTAAGCCTGTAAGTACGATGTGGATTCTTTCTTCCCCTCCGAGGTGGAGCATCTTCCATTTCTCAGAGTTGAATGCCATCAGGTTTTGACCCACCCACCTTGCGAGCCTGTCCAGGTCGGCCTAAATTGCCAGCCTGTCCTCTTATGCGATCACACTTCCCCATAGTTTAGTGTCATCAGTGACATTTAGCCAGTCTGTTTCCAATACCTGAATCCAGACTGTTTATAAATATGTTAAAAAGTACTGGTCCAAGTACAGAGCCCAGTACCATGTCAACACGGTTCCATTGACTATCACTCTCTAGGGTCCAACTACGGAGGCAGGTCCCAAGTCATTGGACCGTAAGGTTGTCAAGGCTGCAGTTCCCCAGTTTAACTGCCCCTCCCCACAATCCTCATCATAGGCCCAACCTACCCTCTCCTGCCTTGGTTCACAAGGCCCCATGGAGGTAGCTGGACCTCTGGAAGGAGCATTTCAGCTATGGACCAGGCTAGGCGCTGCGAGTGCACATGGGGCAGGGATGGCAGAGGATGAGACGCCTGCCGATGTGTGTGTGGTCGCAGCCCAGCACCATGGCAGGCTGTCTGAATCCGCAAAGTCCTAGCTGAATAGTTCCTCACCCACATGGACTAGGAACCCTGCCCAAATGAGCAGGGCTGGAGGACTTCAAGTACCCACATCCTAGCACCGGGCCATGGGTTTCCTGCCCTGGACTCCTCTGGCCCAGTCATGGACACTGCTGCCCACAACACAGGCTGCCTGGGCACCATCCCCCTTCCCCTCTCCATCCCTAGACTCCCTCCCCGCTTAGGGCACACCAGGATGTGGGAGAATGCAGCGCGAGGAAGAGATGGGCCTCATTTTAATTAAATATTGAAGCTGTCAAACTGTTACTGTGTTTGTTAAACAAAAGCTGTGCAACATTGAGCGCTCCTGAACTTGGAATCTTTTTCCCAGTTGAGAGAATGGGGAAAGACCCTGCTTGCACTGGGCAATTATGCCGTTGAGACGGGAAGAGAGGTGGGCAGTAGCGGGAGGAATCAACTTAAACATGAAACCTTGGGGTGGCAGAAAGAAATACCACAGATGAAACTGCTGCCTTCCCATTTAATTAAATGCTGCAGCTGCCAAACTTTTCATGTGCATAATAAAGAAAAACTGTGGAACATTGCCTGCTCCAGAACTTGGGCCAGAGCCCAGGGGCTGCCATTCCTCACAGAGGTATGCTGCTGCCCCACAGGACCTGGACCTGCAGTGGCCTAGCTTGGCCCAGTGGGACATTCCCCTCATCCCCATTCTCTTTGAGCCTTTGCACCTATACTGGAAACCACCAGTGCCCAGGAGTAGCAAGTTAGCCTTGGAAGGAAGGCTGAGTCAATGACAGCCCTGGCAGCAAATCTCAAACAACCCGGTCCCTGTCCTCTCCCAAACTGCTGCTCCTTAGAGTGGGTCCTACTAGATGCCTTCTTGCCTCCTTGGACCATCAGTCAGTAGGTCCAATGTGCAGTATATCCTTTTCTAGGGCCACCCAACCCCCAGTGTCTGCCAATCAATATGCAGTGTACAGCATTCCCCTGTGGCTGTCATCCGGGCTCCCCCCATCCCTGTGGGACTACTGGGTATGTCCAAGGGAGAAGTCCCTGGAGCAGGGCTCTCCATAGCAGGGCAGGGGAGAGGAGGTGGGCAGCAGCCTGCCCCACCACTCCAACCCAGGAGGGCGACAGTTTCTCTACAGGAAGAGGCACTGATGTCACTCAGAGGTGTCATTGCTAGATCCCAAGTGGTCTTTGTGCATAAACTCCTTATCCTGGCGTTACACTTCTCTCAGCTCTGTAGCAGTGCATGTGACCTCCCTCAGAGAGTGACTGGCTATCCACAGACCTCATTCTCGGACCTTCACAGCACACGCCGGATCCTCAATGGCTTGTTCAAATGCTGCAGCACTGTGGGTGCAAGCAGTCGCCAGCCTGACCATTTCAACCCAACACTGATGGTCACCTTTGGTCCTCATGTTGCCGGCACCACCTACACACATCTCTGATGCTCTGCAGGTGTCTAGCCAACCATTCTGGATCCAGCATCTTGGGTTCCACAACCAGGCCTCCCACACACAAATGTGATGCCTGCAGACAAGGGAGACACCAAGGGACCTCAGACAAGTCCCCTGTCTGGACCCTTTTCCCT